AAAAGTATGTGAAACTATATGTGTATTAAACTGAGGGGGAGGGGGCCGGAGAGAGGGAAGTCTATGCAGAATGTGTGTGTGTGTGCAGGCTCGCGCTGATTCGCTGCTGCAGGCCATCGTTTTGTATCTCCCAATAAGATGACTGTAGGGAGGAGCAACCAACACAACTCCTCCCCACCTGTGTATAAATATTATGATATTCTGATGATCAGCGCCTTTTCTGACTGGCTGTCGTGATATGCATTATCACACAGTGGTGGAATTGAGCCCGGAGTACTCTGTATTTTGTACTGTTGCAGAGTGCTCTGTATTATGTATTGTTGTTTTCTACCACTAACACAGATTATTGTTTAACTTTATTCTGGTGCTTTGAATTCCTTCTGTTATAATTTAATCAGCTCGTCAGTCATCAAGGGACGCGCGGAGCAGAGGTGAACCTTCAAACCACTCATTTGGGTGGTGCTCAGTACTCAGACTTGAGAGCGAGGCGCGGCGAGGCGGCGCAGTTCCTCTCCACGGGCTGCGGAAGTGAAATGCTTGATGGGAAACGACTCGCTGGTATCCCGAGCTGAGTGTCACGATCTGTCTGTGTTTTGCTTTGTCTTGTCTTTTTCTGTCTTTGGTTTCCTGTTTTATTTTTAAAGTGTTCACCCCCTGTCTTGCCTGTTGCTTTCTGTCTGTGTTCCCTCCTGTCTGATTGTCCGATTGTGTTCACCTTGTGCCCCTGTGTTTTCTCCTCCCTCCTTACATGTCTCTTGTTTCTTTGATTTGTCTTGTGTGTATTTAAGTTCTGTTTTTTCTGTCTGTCTTTGTTAGTTCCTTGTGTGTCTTGACTGTGTTCACGGGGAAGAGTTTTGTTTTGTTTCCATTTGACCTTGGAATAAAGGTGTTTTTCTGTCAAATCTGCTTTTGGTTCCTGCCTGCTTCGCTCAACCTCGACAGAAGGAACTAACCAGAAATGGACCCAGCAATGGATCCATTTGAGGTGGAATTGCTTAATTTTACCTTTTTATTGGCTTGCTGCTATGATTGGTGGAGGGGAACGTCCAGTGTTCAGCAGAAGGAGGCTGCTCTGGCAGAGGCGCACTGGGTGGCAACAGAGGACCCATGTTTGGTGAAGTTCTTACCTTACTGGATTTTGGACTTCCTCTCGACATGTGATTTCCGGCCTGCTAGACCCAGGAAAGCTAGCCCCCTGCCTC